ATTCAGCGTGTTTTATTTTGAGAAATTTCATACACAACTGACAATGTTTTACTAAGCCCAGGTATCTTCTAGAGCGAAATGTGGGATACTCTTGGAGGCATTGGCAATTGGAATTTGAGATTACGTCCTACTATTTAACTAATAAATTTTGTTTTCCTGTCTTTATTAGTAAATTACGTTGAAAATATCATGGTATCTTCATCGTTAAACGCGTTTATCCCGAATAAGATTTATTGCACCAATCAAACAAATTAGCTTCACTTAAAAAAGAGTACAAAAATCTTAAAAATAGAGATAAAAGTCTGTAATTTGTTAGAGGGCCAACACTGTCTAAAGCGCTTTGTCTTTGGACCTCCAAAGTAGCTATAAGTTAGTAGAAATACCTTTAAATAACGTAGCTTTTACTAAAACTATCCAATTTCAATACAGAACAAAAAAGTTATGACGAAAAATATATTTTCAACCCTTAAATCCAAGAAAAAAAATGAATATATTGAAATTTTAACGGTTGCCCCACTTAAGTATATTTTCATTTACTGTAACAGAATTATATATGTTAGTCTTAAGTGTCTGTGTAGAACATTTATTAGAAAGTCTTATTTAGAAAAAATTACTACATGATATACAGGCTGTCTGCTATAAGAGGGCCATTCCTATGAATCACGCTTAATTTACGACGCACGTCAAAAATAGGAAAAAATAAGCAATTTTTTGTATCCGCAGCCTGCTTCGATGACAATTTTTTTTTTGTCCGCGTAGAGGGCACAACAAATTACATACGATACTTCAAAAATTTGTTTGCACCAGGTGAAAGAACAGATATCAATTTTACCATGAAATTTTATTAAAATAAGTTTTCTCTATCCCTTAAAATAAAAAAGTTAGACGGCCATAAACTTACGGTACTTTTCCGGTTTTTTCATGATTTCTCATAAAGTTGGCCATGGACCTCAAATTTGTTGTTACAAGCATCAAGGCCACAAAAAATGCAAGAAAAAGAAAAAACATATACAGATTTTTGACATGCATTTGGTCGAGATATATCGAGATACCTACATAGGAGTGGCCCTCTTATAGTAGACAGCCTGTATTTACGTTCATTAAAAAATAAATCCAGCAGTCCTATATGTGATCTTTAATATTTTTTTCTAAAAATGTATTTATGAGGCTCTCAAAGAATCATATTACTTTTATAGGATAAATAGAAGAATAGAATTAATAAAAAAAATCCAGGATGGTAATTTTTTATTGGAAAACTCTGTAGATGACATGTATAATTGTAAATTTTGAGTATGACTTTATAAGAAATAATGTGCCCATATGAAGATCATTGACAAATCCTTAAGGATAATTTTTTTCGAGAAAATTATATTACAAATTCAATCGTGGCTTCAGAAGTGATGTTTCCAATTTTTTTTAAATACTTATGCATTTGAATTGAAGGAAATAGAGCTAAGTACTACTTTAATCTTTTAACAGTACATCTCGGACATTTACTTCCTAGAAATATATTTTCCGGTACCTTCTCTTTGTTCTCTTTGATTAAACTGCAATTATTTATAATAATTTTGTATTAAAAATATTTAGTTATGTTTCTACAGCGTTTAATTCCTGACATAAATGAAATTCGAAATTTCTTCGTAGCGTTATTATTTGTTATTAGTAGAAAAGCAAACCGAAAAAATTTCCCGTTTTCCTTCCTAGTTACTCTAAAAATATTAGCATAAGCGTAGACATGGGTTTGTAAGAAGGTTGTACTTAAATTTACTTTTATTTTTTTACATAGTTTTAAATAGTTCCAGTAACGCTACTGCGCGTATGATTCTAAACATCTTGCTGTTGATTAAAACATCTTATTTGTTTAAATTGTAGATTAATCTACTCAGTTTAATCAAATAAACCCAAAACTACTTTTTAATCATTTTTAATGGGATAACGTCAATTACGAGTACTTCTAACTCCTTGTGGGATATTGACCTTCGTTGTGTTTGGGTATCCGATTTTTTCCTCAACCAACAATCTAATATTAATCACGAACTGGGATGTGAACCAACTATCTAAATCATTTTCAAATTTCTTTCACAGCTGTTCTCTTTTATTTTTTCGATCCTTGCATTGTTGTCATTTCTGGGTTCTCTTAAATAGTATAAAAGTTGCACAATCATTCGCGTTCCACTGTTTTGTAACATAAAAATCACCACAACTTCCAGTTATTGAAATATGTTTGTTTTTGCACACATAAGTATAAAAAATGTACTTTCTAAATGAGAAATGAGGTACACAGTGCTGAGTGCTTTTTTTGTTAATACGACACAATTTACAAATTTATACCCATATTTGTCTTAGGAGCCGTGCCTAACATAAACTAAAAAGATTGATTTGAAGAGAAAGAAGAAATGTTAACTTATGTGTTCCATTAGAGGACTTGCATCCAAATTGGAGCGAATGGTGTTGAATTCTTTGTCAAATGAATATTTTCGTTTTGCATTTCCTCTTCCTAGACATATTTTTTATGTATCTGAAATATAGATTAATATAAAGTAAAGAAAGAATAATTCCATCGAGGACAATTATTATTTAATAAATTATTTTGACATTTGGGAGGGCTAAAAGTTAAGTACGTTATTATAATACGCAGGAAAAAAATTTAAAAGTTCAAATATTGCTCTATAAAAGATATTTGACAACGATACAAGATTTACTACAGATATTTGATGAAAATCAGATCTTTACAAAACGCTGTCCCGATATATTCTTTTAATGCTTATTCATTTAATTATTTATTAAATAATGTCGGAAAAAGGGCAAGTTGTGCATTTGTTCGAACTCTTTATATAACATCAAAGAGTGTACACAACAACGTTGTACTATTTCGGATATTCAAGAATTGTTAATACAATTTTTCAACTAACACCCAAAAAATTTTCTACAAACTTTTGGTTTAATTAAAAAATATATTTACGTTTAATTTACATTTTACTTACTATGTAACACCTTACATCTATAAATCGGAACACCCTATATAATGACTATTAACTTTTATTATATATTTACATGTCCTCAAAGAAGTGTCTAATTTTGGAATATGTAAGTATGAATATTTATGTTGTGTGTGTGTTATTTATTTGTGGCATATTTTTCATTTTTTTAATAGTTGTAGAGTATTTTGCCACATCGAATTAATTTAAAAAATTAAAAATTTCTTAAAATGATTATTAAATTTATAAACTTTTTTGTCTCTTGATACTTTTTTCGTAAAACGCAATGTTTTCGAGAAAAATGTCAATATGTGATCGAATGCATATCGTGATTCGCCATTTTCTCAAAAACGTTGCGTTTTACGATAAAAAATATCAAGAGACAAAAAAGTTTCTAAATGCAATGGTTTTCTAGAGAACTAATAGTTTTTAAGAAATTCAAATATACGACCAAATTTTTTTAGTTCCAAAGACGGGGCCCACGAAAAAGTGTCTTAAGGGTTCCCCGCCAAAAAGCGTAGCACTATCAATTCCACATGTCACAAAACTTCTGTGTACCAAATTTAGTGATTCTCGTACAACAGGGTTCCGAGATATAATAAAGACTATCCTTAGGGACGGATTTCAGGGGGCTGTAACTCCGAAAGAGGGAACCACTTGGCAAAAATAAAAAATACGTGTCTTTTAAATTTGTCTCAAGAATCTATGATCAAATTTTGTTGCATTAATTTGGGACGCCCTGTATAATATATTCGAAAATTTATACCTAGGTTTTCGTCTTCTGAAATTATTTTTGATGGTTTAAATTTGTTAGTTTTTGTCTGTTCTCATAGTTAGAGTTATTATATGATATTTATTTTATTCCCAGAATACCCCAAAAATAAGAAAAATGTCTACATTAGTCTTATGTTTTTGTACCCAATTGACTCAAAATCTTATCAAAGGTAGATCCTATTTCTATAAAGATTCTACACCACATATTAACAAAGAAAGTTCCTGCAACATTTGTCCGGAAATAACTCGTCTTTTCCATATACAGGGTGTTCGAAGTCGATGAAAATATATATATCAAGTTAATGTGGTTATTTCAATAATAATAATTTTTATTTTTAAAATAATTTAATTATTTGACACTTTTAGCAATAAGCATGGGTCATGAATAAACAATTTATAATTTTTTTTCGGAGATGTATTGTAGCACCATACGGCAATAATAAATAAGTTTTGAAACTCTGTCGTGGTATTGAGAAAAAATTGAATAAACTTTGTAAAAAAATGCGAACGAAAACTGCTTTGTTCAAATTTGAAACAAATTTTAACGCCTTGTATCTCGAAAATTAAGTGTTTCCTGACATGTATTGTAGGAACTTCTTTTGCTGATTTATTGGTAGAATCCGCTATTAATGTTTAACCAGGTATTTTAGTTACATCTTGTATATTAAGACCTAATTGTATGATTAATGAAATAAAATTAAGCCATCATCCAGTCTAAAGTTTCATCAAAAATTTACTTCGCTATCCCGTACTGGTTCCTATTGAATAGTTTATAGATAAATAGAAACACGAATGCAAAATATTGCAAAAAATACGCTTTTATAATTAGTAGATAATATATTTTTCCACGGTAACCATAACACATATTGAAGGTAACTGTTGCAGGTGAAAAAAGGATGTGTCGGAAGTGAACCAAATAATTGCACATTTCGCCGATTTACAGCAAAACTTCACACTGTCAGCTCTCTTAACAGGTCATTAGCACGCCTATGGACATTTCTTACAATTTTTACGCTTTGTGCACAATATACGTAGGACATGAAATCGATACAATATGTCCTACCCCTCCAAGGGAATGAATGGCCAAGGAATATAGTATAAATATTCGTATCAGCCAAAATCTAATCACACTGACTTCCAGTTCCTTAACTCATAATATCTAGCCTTGGTTAGTAACAGCCCTAGGTAAATGAATTCAGGAATTATTTTATACATAGAATTAATATTTTTTGTTGGTTTTCAGTGAAAATGTTCAAGTTTTTCGTGGTTCTTTCCTGCGCTTGTAAGTATAATCCTTTATATAAAATTCGTAGCTAGATTTTTTATTTTTAAGTGACAACTATAGTTTTAAAAATTAAATTCATAAATATTTTTTATTTTTATTTACTAGTTATCTATCTAAAAAATATATATATTATTTTATAATATTAGAATCTATATAAAAATATAGTGATAGTATTTTTTTAGAAATAGTTATTAAATTGCCAGGCTTATAGTTATTTTGCTATTTTGTTATTTTTATTCTTTAATTATCATGTTTATTCATTATGACATTACATATCTTGCATCTACCAATATTAAATAATTTTTCAAAATTATTGTTGTGAATAATCGTTTTTACCATTACTTTACTTTAAAAAATATTTAACTAATTCAAATCAAGTCAAAAAATGTTCCCAATATTCTCATCTATGAATTCATATATGCTTTTTGACGCCAATATTTTGACGCCAATATATAGGCATCAATAATACGTTATTTAATTAATAACTAATAAGATTGTGGAAAACAACTATTCTGCGGACTAAAGCCACATTCAGCATTTTAGGAAAATCTGTAAACTTGATTCAATTGAATACTTTTTAAAATTTGAAGCATTTTTGTTGTTTTAGTTTTTTTATTGATAATATTTGGAATATTATTATTCTAACCATAGTAAAGATTGACAGATAAAAATTCACTTTTTTCAGTAATTTTTTTTTAATTCATGATTTTTCAAAAATTATAATTTCGCGATACATTTAATGTTTTGAAATTTTAAAAAGGGTCTCATTTGTAACCTAGTTAGGGATTTGCGGCTTGAATTGAAGTGCTTATTTTAAATTTTGTTTTTAAATAATTTCTATTTCAATTTAAATAAAAAAGTTTGTATTTAATTTTGAATTTTAGTTCTAAATTTATCATGTTAACATATTAACCGAATAACAAATACAAATGCATAATTTTATCTTTCGTTTTTACTAGACACACAAGGCTTCCGAAAATTTGTTGTTTAAAATAGCTCTGGACAACTGTCTTTCAACAGAAGCATAAGATGATTGTGTTAATGAAAATCTTTGAGCATTAAACTACGTCCAGAAAAACCTTGATATATTTCAAATAATTCAATAAAAACAAATTAACAACGTTAGTTAAACGAATAGCTTTAACTTGGTTTACTTAAGTACTAATAAATCAAAATTGTATTAAAAATATTAAAAATATAAAATAAAAACTCTAAGGATTGAAAATTAATAGGTATCAAATTTGAACATTTATATTTAATATTTTTATAAATTTTTGGATATCTGCGTCAAGTCAAATTAAACTGTTCTGTCTAAAATCACCATTCTAGTAACTTAATGAATCCATAGATCTAATAGTACTCGAATTTTTGCATTTCAAATGTAGGTGAGAAATAACCTACAAAGTATATTATATTTTAAATGACATTGCTACTCACACCCCATTGGCATAAAGCACTGCACTACTGACAGAGAGTGACCTTAAAATCCTTGGGTACTTATAGCGGTATGATAGTTGACTAGTGTCGTACTAGGCGAAATAGACTTTACTGATGACAGTTCGGAATTGGTCTTTATCTAGTGATTTTGTTAGCTCTTTACTAGATATTGTTGGCGTAAGTCAATGCTGCCCGGAGCATATAGTACGCAGAGTAGTTGTTTCACACAGTATCATTAGTTATAAACATTTTCTCTTTATTATTAATTTTATCTTAACCTTCATCAAAACGACGTTTACTTTCAGTTGTCCTAGCAGTAGCTAGCGAACAGAACGAGAAAGAGGACGTAGCACTTGACTTAGAGACTGAGGCTAGTCACCATTACGACAGCTATGGAAACCACGGTTACGGTGACCACGGTTACGGCGGAGAGTATGACGGAGGCAAATATAGCAAAGGTGGAGAACTTTCCGGTCTCGCTCATAGCTCCGCCATCCAAGCCAAGAACGCTGTCCACAACCAACACACGGCTGGAAGTCAGGCCGCCTTTGGGGTCAAGAGCAGCCTTGCCAGTGCCGCTTTGGGGGTAAGTGGATCCATGTCTATGTCGTTTTTTTATAAGCGCTTTATTGACTTTATAACTGACAAAAAGGAAAAGAAGCGAAGACCCTTTTCCACGAAAGGGTCTATCATTTTCAATTTGAACAGATGCAGGTTTAAAAATATACACGTTTCGTTTGGTGCGAATATGCCTTCGCCGGCCCTACTAGAATCAATCATTCCTTGTCTAACTGATGCAATAATGAGATAAGTTACAAATCGTTTATTACATATGTGTTGGTCTTCCGCACTTGTCTTAGATATTATTATTTTTCTTAGTATAGAAAAATGCTTATTTATCCGATTCTTGTATCTAGTACACTGTAAAAAAAATCACTCAATTTTACTTAATTTTACTCAGTAATGGATACATTATACATTTCAGTCCACATCCAAATGAGTGAAATTTTCACTATATTAGTATGAGTACCTACAACTAAAATTTTATGAGTGAAACTATTGCAACAGAAGTCAGTGAATTTTACTCAAATTCGAGTTTCTGCTAACTATCAAGTGAGCGACTTTTAACTCTATTCTGAGTACTTTCCAATTAAGAGTTCAGTTTTTTCTATAAATTTAACTATTATTGAGTCATTTTTTACTTGATTTATATTCTCTTTAAATTTTAATTTAAATATCATTGTATTAAAGTCATAAACTACACAGATCTGTTTTAGAGACACTATTTTAGGTCTCGATTAAAAGAATTGGTCATCGGACAAATCTTGATTGCCATAATCCATATTGTAAGTTACAGATACATCAGTAAGTACAGGTAACAATCTAACTATCCGTTTGTTTCACCAAATCTTAATCGAGACTTAATATATTATTGTTTTTAATTATTGTAATCAAACCACTGCATTTAAACACAATCGTTACCAAAATAACCGGATAAACGGATACTTGTCCATCACGCCACGAGATGGATGACCTAATAAGGACGATGGGAAAAGACAAAGACAACGCACGACAATCATAGAATGGGTGGGGTCACTCTATAATGAGGACATTTGCTCTGATTTAGCAACAAGTGTACCAAGTACGAGTTTGTCTGGAGAATTTATTTAACGGGAACTTAGGTATATTGAAGTGAAAGTACTCAGTTTTAGTTCAAATATTATCACAAATGAGTAAAATTATTAAAATTCTCAGTATTGAGTGAAAATGTATTCAATAATTTCACTCAATTGATTCACTCTGTGCCTTTATTACTTTCACTCAGACCGATTTTTTTACAGTGTATAAACATATCCCATTCTTGAACGATCCTTTGGGCATATCAACATTATTTATACTTCAGTTTAACTCACTCTAACCCTAATGAAAATGTTGTACCTATGCAAATGACATGACAACAAAAAATACAACTTTTTTTGCCGCTACTGAACAATTTACATAGTGTTGCTTGTTCCTCTTCTGGATCTTCTATTAGTTTTAATAATTTTCCAGACGATTAGGAAACTACTTACTTCTTTCTACACATATCAAAAATACCAGGTTTCAGTTATTTACTTTTTAAACTAAGCAGCCAATGACAAATTTAGAGTTGTATTTTCAATTAGGATATAATTTTATGTCACCGTTGAGAATTTTCATTCTCCATTTCTTGAGAACACCAGCCAATAAAGAGTAGTACCTATCTCAGGTTTTGTGTCTGGTAGCTTCACTATTTTTCTCCGACATGCTTCAAATATACTCATGATTGTGGGAACCATGAGCACTATTATCATTTGATGCTTTTTTGAGAATACATTTGATCGCCTTTCATCATATCTTATCTTTATCCTCATTTCCATCATCATATTAGTTATCTCCTGCTAGAATCGTGCAATAATGGGATAAGTGCATGTCACTTATTGCGTTCTTGCATCTCATATGTCTCGATCTTTTGAACTTAGTTTTTGTTCTGGTAATTCCTTTGTCTTAGATATTATCAAATTTGTAATGAGTTTGTATCTCATAACTCTTTATACAGAAAAATGTTTTGAACGTCAATTATCTACTTCTTCAACCTAGCGTAAACATATCCTTTCCTTGCGCCATTAATGATTTCTTTAGGCATATCAAAATTATTTATACGAATACTTCATTTGTCATGCGTCAAAATTGTTACAAACATTCTCTTCCTATTTTCTAAGCAGTTTTTCATATAACTTTCTGTTACCGTTGAAGATTTACAATCTGCTAACAAGGTAACTGACGTAGTAGCTAGTAGGTGAAGCATTTTCAGTTCTTTTCTCATATATTTTGTGGACATGTCTATAAAATTATGGGATAAATGTGTGTCATCTCTGAAAACATGAATCGATCTTTCTTCTCATAACTATTGAATGGAGAATCGATTGAGGCGAATCATGTACAGATTGGAAGCTAAAATTAGGCTGCACATAATGCGATAGCGAACTTATAACTTTAAAATAGTATGATAGTACTTTGAGGATTACCTTGAAAATTGGTCCTCCAACATTTGATGATTTATATCTATACTAGGTGACCAGTATCCTAAAGAAGTGAAGAAGGCCTCGTTGTATTAATTTTTAACAAGAAATTTAATACCCCAGGTTCCAAGATGATAGATTTTGAAATGGTCAGGTTTCAAATTCGTTAAAATTATCTTTTACGAATAATTTAACACATCGTTAAAATAGGCAACCCGGTTTGAAAATTAACCTTGTAAAGTATATAACTTAATCACAGTTTCGATATTTGCTGGAAAGAATTTAAAGTATAGGTACTGGTTCTCAATTGTAGCACTTGCCGTTGTATTTTTCTTTCTTTACGAAACATCTAACTTCGTTTAAACTAAACTTTATTCTTTCTTTCTTCTCTTCTTTCCGCATTTTTTTATGTAAGTATTTAAATAAACTTGTTTTTCTAGGCTGCCCACGCTGCCCACGCTGCTGTCATCGGCAAACAAGCGATCGTAGGCAGCTTGAAGAAGCAATTAGCCGAAGCTGAACACCAGCTCCAGGGAGAGATCGCCCAATACGCGCAGACCCAAGCTGCTTCCCAAGCCGCCCAAGAATCCGCCCAGCAAGCCCACGCTCAGCTCAACTCCCTCACCGCTGCTTTAGCCGAAGCACAAAGCAGGGCTCACCATGCCAGCCAAGCTGCTCTCGAAGCTGAGAACTCATCGGCAGCCCAGCACGCCATGGTCATCGATGCTAAGCAACGCGTGGGTCAGCTTGCGGCCCAGCTCCAAAACGCCGCCCATGAATTACAGGACACTGAGTCATCGGCTAAGAAGGCGGCCGAAGCTGCTCACATAGCCCAGTCTAACGCTGCCGCCGCCGAAGCAGCCGTAAAAGCTGCAGCTGCCAAAGGTCATTACGGATACTCCAAAGGGCACTATTAGAATAATATTGTAAACTATGTTATTGTATAGCAGTTTTTGTTTTAAATTCGCTTTTTTATTTTGAATAAAAAATATTATATATTATATATGTGGTGTTCTTCATTTTTATGTCATCATTTTTTACAAAATACGTGTTAAAGACTATAAATACCTAATATTTAAAAATACGACAAACAAAATAAAACGTCGTGAAATTTACCAAAGGGATACAAGTAAGGTTATGCGTATTTATTCACATCACATTGTCGTACATATTCAAAAATTGCATTGTCTTATATCTGCTTAATTTTCTAATGGTGTTTCATAAACAGTGGATTGGAAATGGCCCCATAAAAAAAATCAAGCGGATTTAAGTCAGGATATCGAGCAGACCAAGGGTAAGGTCCATTTCGTCCAATGAAAAAATCTCTACTGATATGAGCCGGTGCTCCGTCGTGCATAAATACCATTCTTTGTCTGGTTGCAATTGGAACATCTTCCAGGAGTTCATTCACGTGATTTTGTAAAAATGCTCTATAAGTATCACCATTAATTAAGTCTCAATGGTAGAAAAGCGGGACCAATTAAGAAATCACCCACAATGCCTACCCAGACGTTTACTGAATACTGATACTGGTTCTTGCTTTTGTAACAAAAGCCGGAACGCGTAGTTAGTAGTTATTTATTTGTTCTTGGAACGGATGGTTCAAAAAGTAAAATATTTCAGTTAACACTAATTTATCGAAAGTTAAGGGCTCTCAAGTGGATTTAGCGTCGTCCTTCGGAGAAATTTAGCAATATTTTTTAATAAGTTCACTTAGACTGTCGGGGCCATCTGTTGAGCAGATATAAAGAGAAAAATCGATATTTCAAATAATGCGCGAAATGCATTATTGCAAAGAACGTAGGAATTCCAAGAATATGTTGTTAAATTGATAATAATTGGAAAGGAAAGTAATAGATCAAATAGCTGGTTTTTAGGCGGATTTTCCAAGCTATTAAGAATTGACTAATCCGTCCCGTATTGCTACACGGAGTCACTAGAGGAAGGCTGGGGTTACTTGTAAGTTCAGTTAGTCACAGAATTATTTACATAAATGTAAGTCCAGTCAATTAGGTAATTATTAACATTGTACAGTTATACCAAAGCGTCCCGATATTCAGGTTCCCGCCAATAAGATAAGAACAGAAACTTCTGGATCCAAGAAATGGGCATGTTGAAGCGAGGTGTCGAATTCAGGAGAGATCCGAAAAACAGGAGTTCTTCCTTGGGTTTCACATTGAGCAGTCTACTTAGTTTAGAGTTTCGGGTTAATTTAATAATGGAGTCATTCCAAATTTTGCTATGGATTGCGCGTTCCCTGAATCTCGGTACACTGTCGCGTGTCAATAAATTAATACTGTTGTTCGAGCCCGTTGTGTCGTTATTTTGTTTGTTTGTTCTGTTTTATTGTTATTAAAACCCTTCCTGGAAGTTTTGGTGTTTGTTTCTTGTTTTTCCAACTTCCGGATTACCTTGTACATGAGCGACATACGGTAAGTGTCTGGTATTCATTCTCTCAATGTACAAGATTTCTAAGTTCCCACGTATTAATTAAAATATAATGATAATCAAGTTTATCTGCTTAAAAGTGTAAACAATACCTGGCATAAGATGAAAGGATTTTGGTTTATCATGTTTTGCATCCACTGTCATAATTCTATTCGGCGGGAAAATCACGAGGAAGAAGTACTTGTACACGCTGTATGTGATAGGGATATAGATAGTAATTGATGTTTCAAAATTCTCCAAACTTGAAGATCGCGTGCAATGATTCTTGTGCTAGTCGGGAGATTATTTTCAATTTCAACTAATACAGCCTTTTTCATGGTGTTCTGAAGGTAATGGGATGTCCGGATCTTTGCTGATGTGAAAAAGATCCTTTTTTTACAAGACGCTGATGAATTTCAATAAACATGTATCTATCTGGAACTCTTCGATTTGGAAACGTTTCCTGATATAAATTGTTGGCCCTATTTGCATTTCCATTTGCTTTACCACAAATAAATCTGCCATTTCTAAATTGGTATACATAATTTTAAACTCTTTACAGTTACAGAGGGAACACAAAAAAGGAAATTGAACTTCTTAACTGAGTAATTTAATCACTTGTCAATTTAATATGACGTTTATCAAATAATGAGAACAGCACACTATTCAAAACCATGAAATATTATAAATTATTTTAAAACTACATATGAACAAAAAAATCACAATTCGAAAAAGGTTTATTGTGTGTGAAAATGCAAGAGACGTTTTTTATTAAAAATATGACAGTAAATTAAACGCGCCTATTAATTTTTTTGAAAATCCAGTGGCATAGTTTTTCTGAGGGTTTTAATGACAAAGCTCCCCTGAATCTCCGCCACTGTTTGACAGATTTATATAGGTATATACTCAATCATTTACATCACTTCCCTAAGTTTCGTCAATCTGCATTCAAACAACTTCAGAAATAATTGAAAAAATGTGATATTTTTCGAAATCTTCAACCCCCTCAATCTTGGAAACCAGTAACTTTAGGGTCCTGGTTTAGTAAGGCTTTTGGGCCTAAAATGACCCAAGGAATCACCCCCTTAATTTATGACATAGACTTAGGGTACACCTTGTATACATGGTGATTGACAAATGGTGACCAAAAATGAAACCTCGCGTCCTCTGGAGAATTTTAAGGGAACCTTTCAATAAAGTTTTTATCTAGGAGGCTTCGTTAAAAAGATACAGGGTGTTAAACTTCAAAAAATATTTTTAATATTTTTAAATAATTTAAAAACTAGTAAGTGAAAAAATTTGAAATTGGGCACATGTATTTATGTAAACATTGACTAAAATCTGAGGACTTTTCCTAAAATTTACATGCTCCAGTGGCGGAGATACAGGATTTCGGTGGCATATTTTTCCAAAAAAAAAAAAATAGTATGCCACTGCTTTACGGTAACAACCATGATATTTTCGGATCCGTCTCTCAATTTTCTGTTAATTTCTACTATTTTATGTTTTTCGAAAAAAGCCTGATTTTCATGTAAAACTTAAAAAACCAATTGTAAACACTTTTATTTAAATGACATGACAAACACTAATCATTCGATTATATAATCGAATAAAAAAATTAATAACATTAGTCATCATTTCAATTATTTTATATTATTTTGAGTAAATGTTCAAAAATACCTCAATTTGGAATGAAAATGTAATTTGTTAGAAATTTATTGTTACTTGAATCTGATGAAAAGCATTATTTAATCTTTCATCTAACTGCTCAGGTGTATTAATTTGGTCACTGTATAGCAGCCGTTTAACAGCACTCCACAAAAAGAAATCCAGTGGGTTGAGGTCCGGTATTTTCAGTTCGTTTTTAAGTTTTACTCGAAAATCAGTCTTTTTCGAAAAACATAAGAGAGTAGTAATTTGTAGAAAATTGAAAGACGATTCCAAAAATATCATGATTGTTACCGTAAAGCAGTGGCGTACTATTTTATCTAGAAAAATATGCCATCGATACCCTGTATCTCCGCCACTGAAGCATGTAAATTTTAGGAAAAGCCCTGAGATTTTGGACAATGTTTACAAAAATACATGCCCCCAGTTTCAAATTATTTCACTTACTAGTTTTTAAATTATTTAAAAAAATTTAAAATATTTTTTGATGTTTATTGTACCTTGTATCTTTTTAACGAAGCGCCCTATATAAAAACTTTATAGGAAAGACTTAAAATTCACCAAAGAATTCCACGTTTCATTTTTGGTCACCATTTGTAAATCACCCTGTATAAAACAATTGTTGCATTTCGAAGATCTAAACCAAACTTTTTTTTATGGAACCTCTGTTTTTGCACAATATTTTAATTTATTTGTTGACCCTCCACGATGGATAAAGTGAAGTCAACCTGAAAAACCAGTGCATGTATATGCTTTTCTGTTATTAGATTTACTAAACGGAGTTTTTAGTATTTTATTCAGAAAAAAATATAACGTGTTTTTAATAAGTTCGTTATGTTCTAAGCAAGGAACGTTTGTTTAAATAAAAGTTTCATATGAAGATGATTTTATTGTAAAAAGATAAATACAAAAAATTTCAGTTGTCTAGAACCGGATGAAGGTATTATAAAACACCTTTTATGATGAGATATTTTCTCTTAATAGAGAATTTAAAAATATGTTTAGAAAATTTAAAGAAGACATAGCCACGCCATGATTTTATGGCAATCTTGACTATGTACAGGACCAGTAAATAAACCAAAACTATCAAAGCATCTACATGATATGTATACATAATTGTATACATTTCAAAATAAAAGAGAGGAATCCAAAAAATGACAAATATACAGGGTGTTTTGTTAAAAACAAAACAGGTTTGGTTTATATTTTCGAAATAAAAGTTTATTGTATTTTACTATATTTCGCAAGGAAGAACATTTTCTAAAACTTTGGTTTATACCACTTTTCCCTAAATACAAAGAAAAATGTACTCGCATAACTTCTGTATATTTCAATCAACTTGAGAGAAGAAAAGATCGAGTACAATTAGAAGAGTAAGCGAAAATACTTACCATTGATATATTATCTGCTACCTTTAAATGCACTAGAACACAATTATCTACATAAAGATGTAAATTTATTCATTATTTTCTTATATCGCATCCTACCTATTTTAAATTAATTCGTAGAAATTATTTTAAATATTTTTATATTTCACGTAATATAAATGCCAATCTTATTGAAAATACAATTAATTATTACACTTAGACAAAAAAAATATTGATTCTGACAATTTAATTGAGTATACTTTTGAGTATTTGAGTTTCTTATATCCTATAGAATTTTCAAACACAGAAGGAGAACATAACATGCAGTCATCCAAATCCATGTATATGCACGATTTATATATTTATTTATATATTTGTAACATCAATTAGTTTTTTATAAAGCGAATGAAACTACTGTAAATCTCTCTCAGTGATCGATTTTTTAGATAGCTCTCTAAAGCGATATA